GCTGGTAATTGCTCTGTAAACATTGAGTAAAGTAAAACATCCATTGAGCTATTTAAATAAGTAAATAAATGTATTAAAAGTATTGAGTATAAAATCAAAGTTTCCTTAACAGTAAACATTCAATGGCTAGATGTGGCACATGGACTGAAATCAATCCAAAGGCAAATAGATTCCTCAATTTTCGATTGCAGTTTACCCCCAATAAATAACAAATTTTTGACATCTGCAATATGAGAAGCACATGGCTACTGACAACATTTTCCAATTGGCATGCCCTGGGCAAACATTTCCATTTCGGCAGTAGAAGAATTTCTGACACAATGAATGGCAATCTCAAGGTCGGTCTGAGAGATTCTCCATGTCATGTCATTTCATTTGAGGCAGGCAGGTAAACATTTTGACTAATGCCAGGAACCACTTGATTAGCAGCTTCAGTTGGATTGCATGTCGACTTCTGTAGCAGTCGCTAGGAGTTCCACATTTTTCATCTCAAAGTGTAATTAATTGGAAAAACTGCACAGTAAAACCGACAAATAGCAATGAGATATCTTGTTCTTAAAAACTATATTACTAATCTGTGAAAGGTTCTTTTCACTCGAAACAGTCTCTTTAAATATAATTATCAACTGAAATTTGTTCCTTAAACCAACCAAGGAATGCAAGCAATTATTATGCAACAAGTATTGTTGTCTAAGAAAATGTTTCGGGGAGGCCTGCTCTTGTGGGAAATGTAAATTTGGAATTACCACAACATGAACAAGACTTCGAGAGTAGGGAGATGTCAACACCAGGCTTTTTCGCCACATCCTCATCCCCTTTCCTATTTCGCCTTGGGCGCATTTTCCACTTTTAAGCCAAAAAGGCAAAAGGTCCTTTGGGAAACGGCAGCCGTTGAAAGCTTATAAAGTGCAACAGCAATGCGGCTGACTGTATGTGTGTATTAAGTCGCTACGTGATTGTCCTGCCAATGCCTTAAATGCAAAAAGGGGCCAAAAATGGGGTTGAAAATGGGTCGAAAAGGGGTGAAAGACGGCCAAAAGCAACGCTAAGCGCCACTGATGAAGTCGCGTCCAAAATGCAACGTTGCAATTTGGCAAATTGAAAACATGAAACTGAAGGTGCTGACATAGCCAACGCAGCTGCAGGGCTACAAACTAGCCGCAAAGTTAATTTACCCTCTCCATGCAATCCTTGAAAACACCCCATTTCCACAATTTCCACCATTTTGCCCATTTCCATTGCACGCACGTCATGTAATAGGCACTTCCGCTTGCAAAATGGCAACAATGTGGCAGTGGGTAGTTGGTGTTTCCAAGCGATTGTGTGTGCCGCTCGCCACTAATTCCGTAATTTCAAACGTGCTGGCCCAGTGCCCTACCACATCGAATGCATCACACTGAAAATCTTAAGTGGATTTGCTTTGTGTTTAAATAAGCTTTAAAGATATTAAATATTCTTCTTATTGTCAAACAAGAACTAGCAAAAGAGATAGGCTTTAGTTCAAAAGATAACTTTAAGTTCTGAATTTACTTAAAATATTACTCAAATTTTCTATTTATTTTCTGCGAGTGCCCCTCTCCCTGTTTGCCGTCTATTTATGGTTGCCGCTGGGCGATGCAGGTGTCCTGATTGTGGGCAAAGGTGGTTTTCCGCCTGCAGTTCAGGTGGGCAGCGGTGACCGCAGGTTCCGTTCAGTCATTTGCATGGCCCGCCTTCGGAAAGTGACGTGGGCTTCACCGCAAAAGCGTCCTGCAACCTGCAACCAGTAACCTGCAGGCTGCATATCCTGTAAGCCAAGAGACCCACGGAACCTGCGCCGCTGACACGTTTGTGGCGCATTTTAATTAAAAATAACTACTGCTTCGGGGTAAAAAGTACATGACCAGCGAAGCCAACTTACACATATTTTTTAATTAGGGCAAATATGAGTGGAGCTTGCCATGCGATGTTTGTATGCATTTGGCTGATTTGACTGTTGCAATTTGAAATAAACACCGGCGGGTTTAATGTGAGCTACAGTTGCAAGTATTTTTGCATGCTAGCAGAATATTACAAAGGGGTTATAATCCAAAGCTTATACTAATTATTTCGGTGGTTTCATGCAAAAAGTAATGCCAGAAACTTTACTACACTTTATACAAAACGAAGGCAATATAATTGAAGTAGATCGTTGGATATGCATGAGTTTTCATTTCGTTTGAATTTGTTTTTGAACGATAATTACTAAAGTTAATGTGTAAGAATTAAAAGAATTTGTATTTACAAATTAGAACTGAAATTTGCAAATATGATATATAATTTCTTTGTAATTTCAATGCTAACTAATTTTTCATCTGAACAAAAAGCTGCCTTAAATATGCTTCATGGTGCTATTATTATAATCCCAACTTTATGGCACCCACATATGGGCCCAGACTTAACCATTTTGTTTGCCTTATGCCCTGATGTCGGCCATTTCCGCTGCTCATTTCCGGGTTTCAAGTGCGTGACCCGCAGGACAACGCATATTCCCCGTTGTTCCCAGCTCTCAGTTCTAATTTGCCGCTGCTCATGACCAGCTCTAATTGCTGCCGTCGAATTAGGAAACAAACTATCTGCTGAAGGCATCGACATTGGCATAGGCATCCGGGGAGCCACAGCGTCAGTGCTCCATTTGAAATTATGCAAATGTTGACTTGGTTGATGGACAGTTAAAGGGATTGGGTAGGTGGTGGTGGCGTTGTCAATGCCAAAAGGATAACGGTGGGGTAGATGGGTGGTGTGGAAATGGTATGGAATGGCTTCAATGCGCCGCTTTGCGGTAGCTAAACGCTTCGGCAAATGCAGATTTTGCATGGGTTTAATTACGTCTAATTGTTTGCATTTTGCAGTGAAATATTTGCGTTGAGCAGGCAGTTGGCAGAAATTGTATATGCCACGCTATGTTGAACTAATGCAAATTTGATGAATTTGGAAATTAGGTTTTTGTTAAACAAGAATTTCCATAAGAAGTCATAGAACATTAGTATTAACTTACGAAACTCCACTTGAAAGCAGCTTAAAGTGCTTTGGTAAAACTGTTTTTAAACCAACTTAACCCTAACTATAAGCTCTACTTTAATGCACTTTAAAATATAATCTCTTAATTTTCCGGTTCATTAAGTGACCTTTTAATTCAGTCGAAGTTTCCGTCTCCACTTGATTTTATCAACTTAATTGTACTTTGGAACTGTGCAAATAAGCTTATAATTTCCGTAGCTCTCGCCGAGATGCTAACTTAATGTTCGATTTATGGCATTTGACCAAGGTCGACTGGCCATAAAAAGGGGAGAAGAAAAAAGAATTTGTTTGCCAAAGTGCGCAGCATTAAACTTTTAATCTTTAGTGTTGACATTAAATTTACAGTAGCAACTAAGCCGAGGAGGGACCACCAGTCCCGCCCACAAATGCCGGCGAGAACAAAGCAATTTTACAGGCCACCCCAGGACATCAGGGCAAACACCAGGACAAAAACCCATCTGCAGAGCGGAGTTCAGGAATTTATTACCCAATTTGAAATTGCAAACGAGTGCGTGATAAAGTCTTGGCTACTGTGGCTCCCTTCTGGTCTTGTGTTTTATTCAAAACACCATTGTTTATGCCGCCGGAGAGGACAAACAAGTGCAGGCTGCATACGAAGTCAAAGCTTGGTTGGTCAAGGTGCCATGTATAACCATGGTATAGATGTACTCACCTAAACCGAAAAATAAACTGGACTAGCATGATGTTAAGAGCAAAAGTGTGTTGGCACACTTTGATGCTGCTTTATGATGAGCAGATGAGATTGGTTCTCTTTTTGTACACTATATTCCGATGCAAGTTGCAAGTTGCATTTTGCAGGTGGCACGTGGCAAACGCCGAAAGTGTTTACCATGCAAATGTCGAGGGCCATTTCAATGCAAATGTTCACAAATGGCAACGTTGTTTCACTAGCATCACCCCACTACCGCCCCCGTTTTCATTTTAAAACATTTTTCCTCTTTTTTGTTTGCGACGGTACTATGCTCTCGGAAATGTGAATGCAAGCCATCTTTCGGGCCATGGCTTTTGCATTTGACGTCAGCTGAAATTACCTATGCCCCTTGTCCTTTGCCTCAAGGAGGGGCCATAAATTTGTGTCCCATTGAAGCATTTAAATTTATTTCCATTTCGCATTCGGCCCGAGATTTCAAGAGATTTCTCCTCTCTGCGGGGGGATCAGCGAATTTATTACCCGCAAATAAATTCTATGTGATACATTCACATTTTTTGGGATTGAAAAGGCAGGCGAGAAGGACTCTTAAGAGTTGAATACAAAATCTCGATTTGGAATTCAAATTGGGAGCGAACTGTAAAATTTATGTTTCCGGTTTTTTTTTCGGCGGCCCACTTCTAGGATGAAGGTATTTGTTAAGATTACTACCAATCTTAACAAATAAAATTCTTAAATTTCTTTTTCTTATTTAACGATGTAAAATATATTTTTGTAAAAGTTATGTTTAACTACTGTGGCTTCTTAGCTCATATTTCTGTATGACTTTCAGTCCCAACTTAAAATATCTTAAAAGCCTTTAACAGCTCTTTTTTAACTTTTCGATAATAACATTAATACTTTTAATAACATTTACTTTCGTAACCATTTGTGCTTTACCCTGAAAGTGCATAAGCTAACTACTGCGAAAAATCCTCATGGAAAATCCCTGGCAAACTTCCCGGCAACTCATTAATTTTTAAGCAACTGATAAGGAGATACGTGTAGGAGGAGGAGGAGGTCCTACGGCTCTCCTCCGCGTTCCGCACTCAAAGTTAATGGCTTGGTTAGGCCACGCCCTGCTCATCTAGAATTTCGAAAGCGATTCCCTTAATGGCAGCCAGCCATTAGCCTCAAGTGGCAATGTGGCAAAGTTGCGTCTAAACTTTCCATTTGTTCCATTTAAGCTGCTTCCTAATCTGCCATCAAATACTAACTTTCTCTTTCGTTTCGTGTATTTTTTCCCCTGCAGGTTGCCTCAATCAAAGGGAAAAATCAACTGTTAACCGGCCAGTGGACACATTTAAAGCCATCGAAAAAGACAAACAAAAAGTCAGACGTGCATGAAGTAAAAATCTGGCGGCTAACCGGCCGATGATTCTGGCCCATCATCAATTACCCCATTGCCGAGCACCTGGCCATTAATGCCAAGGAGTGCGCTGAGTGTGGATTTGTCGAGAGCAACAGGTTGGCCCAGGCAAATCCCTCTGGACTTCAGGATTCTCTAGGCCCCCATAAGTGGGCGAGTACGTGACTTAATCAGCGGACGCAGCAGGATTCTGAGACCGGCTAACAAGGCGACCAAAGGATCACAACGCGAAGAATTTGGAGCAGAAGGAGGTGTCCTCACATTTTGCCCGCAATGATTTCATGCACGGCACAGTGAGCAGCAACAACATGACAGATGTGTCATCGCCAGCTGGCGGCGCCACAGCTCCGGTTGAAATAACCACCACCAGCTCCACAGTCGCCACAACGTCAGCGTCAGCGTCCTCGTCCAAACCGCTGACCAATGGCGCCAACAAGACGGCCACCACAACGGCAGCTGTGCCGGGAGCTGGATCGGGATCTGGAGCCATCACCTCTAGCACCGCTAGTGGCAATCAGGTCAAGCTGGAGCATCATCACCGGCAGAGCAATAACAATCGACCTCTGGCCACTAATCGCAGTCCAGAAACCAAGCTGAGATCTCCAGCCGGCGAAAGTGATGCTGCCTCAAGGCTGATAGCACCTACCGGCAGTTCCTCATCCTCATCGCAATCTCAAACCTTATCTCAAGCCAGTATACAAACCCAAACGAGTCAGCAGGAGAGACTGATGAAAGCTGGTACTTCGGCATCCCAGCAGGATGTCGATGAGGTGGCTCGGCTGTTCGAAGAGAAACCGGAGGCTTTCGAGAAGTGGCTGACGGAAAGGGCTCCTCCGGAGGCCCTTAGCCGTCTGCAGGAGTTCATCGAGAATCGCAAACCGCACAAGCGGCCCTCGGTCACCTCTGATCTCTTCCAGCAGTGGATGGCCGCCTCACCAACCGTGCAGCAGGTATGTAAATCTCTTAACAAAATTATTTTCTATATATGTATCTGATCAGATTCCAAGAATATACATAATAAGTTATAATAACCCTTGAAACCCGATTAATATTCTATTAAAAATTGGTATTAATGTTCTTCATCAGCTTAGAAGTTAATCATTTTTTTGTACTCAATGCTATTAGATTTTCTTTCTTAAGATGAATTTGTACCTTATCTGGCGAATGAAAACTTAATTTAATGTTTTCTTAGCACTTTTAGTTTACCGAAGTAGTTTTCGTAGCAGTGGCCAGGGAGGCATCATTATATTACGGCAAATAGTTTGGGATCCTTCAGCCCCTTCATCGCAACCATCCAATCTATTTTATCTTGGTTTCCTCTCCTGCCCACCCAAATGGCCAGAAAACAAAGACAACCAGTGATTGCCAGTACAAGTGGAAATGCAGTTGCCAAGTGGCAGTGGCAGTGGCAATTGCAGTGGGTCCCCAGCACTTAGAACACCATCATCCTTTCACATAGTCAGTGCTTTATTTGCCCACCGACTGCCACCGACTGTTTGAGCTGGTATTTGTATTTGCCCTGCTTTGTTTTGCCATGTTTTGTTGTACTTTTGGCACTGCTGCCTCTGCTGCCTCCTTTCTGGATTTCCGCTTTTATTTAACTTTGTTCGCCTTCTCGCCAAGCGAATTAACTAAATTGATATTTTCACAAATTTCCTTTGGCTGGCTTTCCTTTCCTTTTTCCCTTCCCTTGGCGTTGTCTACTGGTTTCTGGCTGCGTGTGAAGTTGGCTAATTGGAAAAACTCACACAGCCAGTGTCCCTGGGATTGGGATTTCGGTTCGGAGTGGCATTTCCACAGTGTTACCATTCCATGACCTTCTGCTTATGTTTAATTCAGGCACTAAAAATGAAATTACTCGATTTCGAAAAGCCCCAACCTCTGCTATCGACAGCCAAAAAGCATGCTATACAAATTTATTGGTTATTTATTAACAACCTCCGCCGGGCGGGTTTTTAAATCGCTACCACACGTCGGCGTCAAGTATTTTTCAATTAACTTTTATTTGATATTTTCTGTAAGCCTCCCCTTCAGGCGAAAACAACATAAAACAAAATGCGCCAGAAAATATGGCCTGACCTTTGTCGATGGCAATTGGTCGTTTTGCACTTTTCGTAAAATCAATTTCGTGTGTGCGATTTTATTGGTAAAAATTAAAAATGTCATTTTACAATTATTTTCTTGGTTTTCAATTTTAAATCAATATGTGAAATATTTTGTGGACAAATGTTAGAGTTTTGGCTTAATTTTTAAAATTAAATCTACTTATAAAAGACAGTTTTCAATGTTATTAATATTTATTTCCTTAAAGGAAAATATAAAAAACCAAAATGAATATTTGGCTTAATAGCTTTTAGCTTATTTATTTGCTTGTTTATTTGGTTTGTTCATGATGGCCAACAGATTAGTGCTTTTGAACTCTATGACTCAATTGAACTCTTTTGACCCCCTCGATGCCAATGGCAACTGTCATCGAGACTCACTTGGGCCTAGCGCAATTTCGAATGTTTACTCTTGTGAAACATTCAACTAAATTATGTCAGATCAAAACTTGAACTGTAAATTGCACTTCGACTGCAATTGGTTGAGCAAAAACAGCAGAAAAATATCAAAACAAGAAGTGCGCTTGAGTTTCGCATGGAAATCGGCACTCACCTGGGCACTTGTGAATCAAAACTAAAAGTCAGCGGAATATTCTTCAGCCAGAGGATAAGTGAGTGTGTGTGGGACTGTTTGTGCAAAAGGAAAGAAAGCGGAAGGGAAAACTAGGCCAGTGTCCTGGGTAAAACAACAAGCAGTCAACCTTTGAGACCGACCCTTTCAGCGATTGTCTGGCTTAGTGAGTGCAATTTTGTTTTGTTGTTTTTTTTCTTTAGCAGCAAAAGCAGGTGAACAGCACGTGTGCCTCCCACTTTTTGTTGTCGATATTGTCAATTTATTTAAGTGCATGTTACGCAATGCAAACTGGAACTGCAATCCCAGTTCAGGGTATTGGCAGTTCTTAGCCCCGCTTGTTTATTCGTAATTGCATCGGTAGCTCTGTATATAGTACTGAAATTTTCATGGCATGCAGGACGTTTTCCCCATTAAGAGTCATTTCGTTTTCATGTTTTCACTTTCCGTTCTGCAAAAGTAACAACAGAAAAATAAAAGAAGAACAATAATAAAAACAGCACGAGTGCTGAGCATCGTTTTGTTGATTTTATTGTTTTTTTTTCTGTTTTAAGAAGAACACCCAATGCCACTGACTGAAGTTCAAATTTACTTAACGCTCTGACTGGCTTGGCTTTGTTTTCATTTGCCTTTATTTGTCTGAATTTTATTTAATGAATTTGCATTGTTCCCGCCCGAACACAAACAGAACTGTTTTCCTAACTTCCAGTTCAATCCAAACAGGGCGGATTTTATTTTCTCCATTTTAAAAATTAAAACTTTTTGTTTTCGGCTGTTAAGACGACTTTTAATGGCATTTAATTACTTAATTCATCTGTCTTTTTTTATATCCAAAAAAGGAGTGAAAATAAAGACAAGACTGAAAAGGCATTAAAAATAAATGAATCTGAAATAATACAAGAGGTAATGGGGAAATATTTAAGACAAGTTAAAAACATTTAAAATTAGAAAAAATAAACTTAAATTCCATGACAGGTCCAGCAACATTCCAACAAATCTAACTCAACCTAAAACTTACACTTGAGCAAATATCAAACTTTCACGTAACCCAGTTAGCCAAAATAGGCCTTCTAGATCTAGCAAAAACACAACAAGAAATTAGTTTTCTACAAGTGCAATAATTATTTTTACACACACAGCAATTATTGATATTTCTGGCCATGTGCCACATGGAAATGTTGATACACGAAAAGGCAGCACCAAACAGTAGTAAATTGCTTTAATTTGTCAGTAAAAATGATAGGGTGTGGGTGGCAAGGACGTGTGGAATGGGAAGGCCTGTTTTCAGGACCAGGATGAGGACAATACACGCAATCTAACCAGCTCCCAGTTCGCAGCTCCCAGCTCGGTTAATTGCCCACTCGCACGCACAGGTCACAGGATCGGGGGATTCAGGGCCAGAGGCCTTTTTCGGTATTCAATTACCACATTGCCACAGGACGAGCACGCAGGGAAGACGGGGAGCCGCTTAAAGGCACAACTGCCAACTGCTGCTAATAGTCACCCTTTGAACCGGACCAAGTTAATTTCCAATGAAATTTGGGGGCCGGGTTAAATGGCAAGAAATCGAAAACAGAAATAACGGTACGTGAGTAGAGACAATAGCACTTATTGCCTTAAATACACTGTTAAATATTTAAAGTGCTATCTCCCTGTCTCGTCCGGCCGAATAATAATGCCAGTTAATAAAGCTATTTATATGGGAACTAATTAAATAGCGGAATTATTCTGCTTTCTCATGCCAAAGAACAAAATTCAATTACTGTCCGGACACGTTCTTGCACTGTTCAAGAAAAGGATAAATAGGCTCTTAGATAAATTATTTAGAATGTGGTTTGATGCTACCGATAATATTAAGCAATACATCTCATAGAACATTTTTCACCTCTAATTCAAAAGAAATTTAGAAGAGACATATTTTTAAAACCTTTTATTCTTGAAAAATAAGCTATAATATTCAATCAATACTAAAAGACCCCAAATAATTCTCGGTGTTGCAATTTTTTCTGCTCAAACTCAATCTAAGCCCTCTATTAACGTTTATGGTGTGTGCTTTTTCCTTTCTTCTTTCCAAACAGAAATCGCCGAGGAGTCTCTCCAACTCTTCAGCATCGTCACTTCCGGAGAGCCGGAGGCATCTGATGGACTTGGACGAGGGCGAGCTGTTCATGGAACTGATTCGCGACGTGGCCAACGAGCTGGACATCGATGTGCTGTGCCACAAGATTCTGGTCAATGTTGGCCTGCTCACCCACGCGGATCGTGGCTCACTCTTTTTGGCCAAAGGGACGCCCACCAACAAGTATCTAGTTGCCAAGCTATTCGATGTCACACAAAAGACAGGTGAGTCTGCAATGGAAATGCAAAATTTCCATTGCCAATTTTCTCTTCTACTTACATACATATAAGGCAGTTTGTGTAGGTGTTGTTAAGGTATATGTTTTGTGGGTGTGGAATCCTTGTGGTACAGGTAATCCCGCTTTAATTAAGGTGAACAATGCACAAAACGAACAACTGCAATACAATGAATGTTGAAGGAAGCGAAAAGTGAATGAAAAATGGGATACATAAGCCGAGTCAAGTGAGCTCTGTGGTCTTGTGGTGGGTGGATAAATTGAAGGATTCTACTGAAAGTCAGATAATCTGAGAAAAACATGGCCGAAGTGGTATTCGGCTGTGAATAGGCAGAAGCAGTCAAGAAAGAACTAAACGTAGCCTTATTCAGGATTTAAATTTCTTTTTGTAGTTTCTAACATCTATTGTCTTTTCATCTTTTTAGTATTAAAGTGTAAAATTACAACATAATTTCCTATAGTTTGATAATTAATCTCTCTTTAATAAGAGTTTATTTAAATAGAAGATTATACAACTCCCTAAATTCCACCCTTTTAATGTATTTTTAAAGTGTTTATGGCCTTGGGAGGGGGCCAACCCATTGGACGTATACAAATTGGCACTCATTAGCGGCCGAGCAAATAATTCTTGGCCTGGCCAAAAAAGGGGGCCGACAAACGCATTAGCGAAATTAAGCTCGAATGGAAGCGGGCATTAAAAGTTTTCGGCATACCCGACAAACCCATAAAAACTGAAAAGGTCGCCTTCAAATGTGAAATAGAATCTATGTGTTTCTGAGAACGTGCTCCCACAGGTTCCGCCCACAGAAAGTAACAAACCAACCAACAAACAAACAGCCTGCGATATATTCATATAGAAATGCGTTACATTCGTAATGAATCTTTGGTGCAGATCCGTGAGTAAAAGCCACCGCTTCCGCTACATAATTCAGTGGGGAAAATGCGAGAAAGATTAGAGCTGGGAAATGGCTGCTGGAAAATTGGAGAATGGTGGTGGCCTCAGATACAGATACATCTACCGCTTCGGATATGATACGGATACATGTGAGACGCTGTGTGGGCCACTGAGATTATGATTGAGGCGGGACCGGCGAGCTCATGCAAATTCACATTTGACTTCTTGCCCTCGGATTTCGGGGGCCTTGTCATTATTTATTTATATATTATTCTCTCTTTTTTTCGGTGTTCCCACTAAGGCTATGCTCTTGTATCTTTTGCATGGCAGAGTGAATATTTTGCCTATAAATTTAATATTTTTCGGGTGCACGACGGGCTTTATCTGTGTCCCTAATACGCTTTGCAACGGTTGAACTAATTTTAAGGCGATATCTCGAAAAAGGTTCAACGTGTTTAAATTTCAATTGTAGCGGCATTACCAATTTATAAAGTGTTTTGAATTAAAGAGGATGCTTAAAAGCATTTTTATCGATCTTTAGCTTTAAAAAAAACAATATAAACTACATCGAATTTTAGGTTTTTAAGCTGATGAATAAGAGCTAAAAATATTTGAGGCAACACTAAAGTTTGAAGCACCACAAAGAAGCAATATTGCAATTTAAAAACTTAATTCACAAAATTTATTCATGATTTTTGATAGATTTCTTGGCACAGCGTTTTCCTCTTGATTGACTCGAGTTTGAATCTCGTTTGATTGCAGCACTCAAGGACGCGGTGACTCGGGCAAGTGCCGAGGAGATTATCATTCCCTTTGGCATTGGAATCGCGGGCATGGTGGCGCAGACAAAGCAGATGATTAACATCAAGGAGGCCTACAAGGATGCGCGATTCAACTGTGAAATCGATCTGAAGACCGGCTACAAGACAAACGCCATCCTCTGCATGCCCATTTGCAATTACGAGGGGGACATCATAGGCGTCGCGCAGATTATTAACAAAACGAATGGTAAATATTATTTCCTTTATCTATAATTTATTTGACATTATTCTTCGTTAGGTTGCATGGAGTTCGACGAGCATGATGTGGAAATCTTTCGTCGCTATTTGACCTTCTGCGGAATTGGCATACAAAATGCCCAGCTTTTCGAGATGTCCGTCCAGGAATACCGGCGTAATCAGATCCTTCTCAATCTGGCCCGTAGCATCTTCGAGGAACAGAACAATCTGGAGTGCCTGGTAACTAAAATTATGACGGAGGCCCGTGAACTTTTAAAATGCGAAAGGTGCTCAGTGTTCTTGGTTGACCTCGACTGTTGCGAAGCGGTAAGATTTATTTATTTTTATTATTTCAATAAATTCATTTTAAATTCGCTACACAACCTGATAAATTGGGTCACTTCAAATACAATATTATAATTATAAAGCAAATTATTTACCCTCAAAGAAAAAATTTCTCGTGCAAAGTTTTACCGAAGGTCAAATCAATTTTTATAAATTAATAAGTAGTCGAGAGTTGTAATTTTATGTAATTACTGGCAGTCATGGTGGTGTTTTAGTTTTAAAGTTAATGAAGAGCAATTTGAGTTTTTCGATTTATTTCTTCATCAAGTCCAATAAAGCCCATAGTATAGACAAAAGTAATTTTTATTAGACCAAATTTTACAATTTTACAATCTTTAAATAAACTGAACTGCAAATTAGTGTAAAGAAAAAAAAAAAAATGAAAAAAAAATTATAAACTTCTGGAGACACACATCCCTAAGTCCTTCGTTGAAGTTCCAGTCGTGGATACTTGGCTAGTTTCATTGTCATATTATCAACGTAGACTAGATCCTTAAAGGGAAAACTTGTGTTTATCTGGTAGTTCCTGAGTATCCTGGCCAAAGCGAACTTTGAAGACATCATTGCATATTTTGATCCTATTAAAGTCGTTATAATATTAAATTAAATATCAAATAATATAGTTAGGGACCACAAACCTATGCAATTCCTTTTTCCTCTGGCAAAGGGAACGAAGGCATATGGGTGTCTTTTCTCAATATTTTCCGGCAAAAAGTTATCAGGATTAAATGAAGCAGCTTCTGGTCCCCAGACTTCCGGATTTCTGTGAGTGTGGAATATATCTATTCCTATGACGACTCCTTTGGGAATGAGTAGACCATTAGAAAGCTGGACATCTTGCTTTGTCTCCCTCGCAGTTATTGGAATTGCTGGTATCAAGCGTAGGGTCTCTTTCATCACGCGTTCCAAGTATTCCAGTTTTTGCAAAGTCTGAGTAGACTATTTCAAAGTCTCCAGCAGTTGGGAAAACAGCATTTAGCTCCTCAAAAACAGCATCCTGATGCTCGGGATGTGTGGCCAGAAGAAAGAGGGCATGGTACACTGTCAGAGCTGATGTATCATAACCAGCAGCTATCATAATACAACATTCACTTTTAACGTCTTTATAGGCAATATCGCCTTTGCGATACAATTCTATTGCCCGATTAATCACAATGTTCGCCTCGGGATCTGAATGTCTTTCGATCGTTGTGTCTATCTTTTTCTTAACCACCTGAACAAAAATTAATGTTATATAGTTAATATTTAACATTCAGTTTTTACATACGTTGTCCAGCATTTTATGAATTTTTGAAAGATTGTTTGCTCGCTGCGTTTCATAGCCGCATATCTTGGAAATGAGTTTGTTTTGAACCAAGGGCATTAAAATATTAAGAGTCGTTAGACAAATGAGGCTACAAGCAAAAGTGTAAATAATTATTATGCCTTAGAAAATGAACTATGAACTATGGTAATGGGTGCTCTTACGATTCAAAGCTTTCCACTAGGCTATCGTTCCTAAAGTGTTCATCGTCTTTTACATCAGAGCCCATTGTGGTTTCTGGGCACAGGATACAAAATAAAGAAACTAATTCGTAAAAAATTATTAAATCACTTACGAGCAGCTATTCTGAAAGACCATCGAAGCATATCTGGAACCAAATCCTTTTCGCCCTGATTCACATAAGAGTCTAGCAATTTCATAAGGGTTTTTGTCTCGGTATCGAAAATGTGAAAAAAGCTTAGCAGGATATCTTGTTTAAATGAAGGATTAAGGTGTTTCCGACGGTCAATCCACTCTGGATCTAATTAAACATCAAAATCAAATAGGATTTATTTAAAACATACAATGCGTTCTATACCTTGTAATCCCAACAAACCAAAGCCCATGCAAGTGGTTATTGCATCAGCGACATGAGAGCTCTTGTTGTGACAATCCGTTGAAGTAAAGGCATCCTCGACGATCTTTGGATCTCGTGTCACCATAAATGGCACAGGACCCATCCAAGTTAAAATCGTCGAACCGTACTTGTCCAAGTACTTGCCTCGAAAACTTATTTTTCCTATTGTTGCGATAGGTTTGTTTAATTAAAAACTGAATTCCATGTAATATCTGTTTTTTAGCATTTACGTTTAAATGTGATTATATTTTCCAAGGAACTGCCAAGGATAGGCAAACCTATTGGTCCTGGCATCCTTAGCATTAACATATACAATCGTCGCCGGCTCCATAAGAAGTAAATCCAAAAAAGTAGCCCAGCAGCCAACAGTAAATTGATCGTCAGCATGCTTTGGTTTCCAGTTAGTCCAAGAATAGATATATCACTTTAAGATTAAATTTATATTTCACTACGGAATGGTTTGGTAGACTGAATTGCTCTGCTGCTTTGGTTGAGTCTTATATAGAAAGGTCTGGGTGGATTCAGGTTTATTCTAAAGCCATTTAAAACAGATTATCGTCATCAACTAGATTAATAATAATTTCTTAGACACTTCTTATGCAACCGGGGTATTTTTATTGTTTTTTCTCCACTTTTCAGATACGGTAATATTCGAAATTATGATATTTTTTAACACCGCACTATATTTAAAGCTTGTGTCTTCAGTGCAGATCCACAAACTGAAGTGAAAGCTTTCGTAAATTTGTACCCAATAAAAAGCGTTTGATATGAACTGCTGTGGCTTTGCAAATTATTTATTCATTTATTCAAGATACCCATGCCTAAATACTACGTCTACGTATCCATTTCCTGAAATTTGAATTCAAACATGAAATGAAAATTAATTCACAGTAATTTTTACAGTAAACCAAAGTTCGTAAAAGCAAATTATTTTTTTCGCGCATGTGATCGCAAATTCTCGCCTCAATAGGGTGAATAAATATTTAAAAAAGTGTCGCACTGTGGTCACCATTCTATATGCTTCTCGGTCCCAACCGCTGTCAGTTTAATTCAAAGTGTTTAAACGCCTCCGCGTCGCCCATTTTGTTTGTGTGTTTGCCAACCCAAAGGAAATTAAAATGTGCCATTTACATTATGTATTTTTTCGGGGACCGAACTGTGGGCGTTTTCACGTGGCAGGAGTTCAGCAATGGAGATGTGTCAGCTATCGCGTGGAATTCTGACAGCGCAGTGGTGGATGTCCTTGGGGGATTGGTAAAATTATGTCCAAGTCTGGGCAATTTTCATTTGGGCCAAAGTTTCGCTGATTGCCTGTCGTTATTTTGAAGCTGTTGATTCGACCGCTTTTTTTCGTATTTAAAACAGGTTTGCAGTAAATACAATATTTAAAGTGTGCTAGTCTAGTAGTCTTTAAAGTTTCTAGGTTATAATTATCTCATAAACAAACCAGTACTTTAAACTGACAGCCCCTTGTTAAAGGGCAGCTTAATTAAAGAAAATGTTGCCATTAGAAAATATTAGATTATACTAATTGGAACAGTTACAATGTATATTATTAGATGGAAAAAATCATAGTTAAATAATAATGGTTACCTAATGCAAAGCCAATAATAATCAGGTATACATCGTTTTCCGATATATATTTATTTGCTGGAATCATGTTTCTGGGGAAATCCATTACGAAACTTTACTTTACCCATGTAAAATGTTATGCGTACCATGAACATGTGTACAATTGTTTTGCATATTCCACCTTGGCCAACAGGGCGCATGAATAATGCCGAAGGATATACCTCCAGGAATTGTGCATTAAAATTTTATATGAAATTGCCCGTAAGAGGAGTAAAACAGATGTTCTGCCCTTTGGCATATGAAAGACATTGTGCTTGGCCAATTTGATGAATGCATATCATTAAATTACTGCATGCTGCATTAATTTATAGCCAACGGTTGCCGCAATAAAGGCCATAAATATCGAATTGAATGACCTTTATGCGAACTAAACAAAAAGGCTTTCATTTCTCATGGTAATTGTTATTAATTTGATATGCGCAGAACATTGCATTCTGACAAATTAAATGCCGTTGACTACGTTGATTGTTTAATTCGGGAAATTGCCAGGGCCAAATTTGCCATTATCTGCTGCCAGCTGATAATGCAAATGCATATAAGTATAATGGGCAATTTATTAGCCCATAAAGTCAAACTAGCCCAGAGGGGCAAGTCCGGACGGTCCAGTTGCGAAGGACGGACTCTGAAAACTTGGCTGACATGCCCGTCATGTGCAACATGTCAGCTTAATTATGCTCGGATAGGGAGTGCGAGCATGGGAGGTTTTTGGTCGAGCGTCTGCGGACCACTTCTACACTGGCAGAAAAACTGGTAAAAAAAGTTTTAAAAGTTTTAAGAACAAATAGCTCAAAAGTTGATTAATTAGATTTTAGGCTAATGTTAAAAAGGTTTACAGATCTGTAAAATTAAAAAGAAACCGTACAATTTTTTTCAAGTGTAAAGGGGTGGGAGTGTGGCGTTGCAATGCAATTTATCAACAAGTCGGCAGCGGCTTGGGGGAAACCGTTACGAGCTCCATTAGTGGCAGCCACTTAATGTCCCCTCTCCCCTTCTTTTCGCCCTTCTCGCCACAGAGCCATTTGGAGAAGATAATTGAGAAGCCCAATCAACCAGCCACCCGCGCCATCAAGTCCGCCGATAGCTTTGAGGAGAAGGTAAGTCCACCTATGGTTTTGATTCCTTTCCAAGCCATTGATTTCGATATATTTGTTTTGTTGGAAAACCTCTAACTGATCCGACAGAAAATGCGGAATCGTTTCACTGTGCTTTTCGAACTTGGTGGCGAGTATCAAGCTGCCAATGTTTCGAGACCCTCTGTCAGCGAATTGAGTACCTCGACATTGGCCCAAATTGCTCAGTTTGTGGCTACAACTGGACAAACCGTCAACATCTGTGATGTCCACGAATGGGTCAGGGATCACAATCAAATTCGCGCCGAGGACGAAATCGACAGCACTCAGGCCATCCTTTGCATGCCAATTATGAATGCCCAGAAGACGGTCATTGGTGTTGCACAACTCATCAACAAAGTGAGCATTACCTTGTTTAGATTTTGAGGAAGTCATTATTTCACCAAACTATAAAACATTTAAATCTTTCCCAGGCCAACGGCGTTCCCTTTACCGAATCAGATGCCTCAATTTTCGAAGCATTTGCCATTTTCTGCGGTTTGGGCATTCACAACACCCAAATGTACGAAAATGCCTGCAAACTGATGGCAAAACAGAAGGTGGCCCTTGAGTGCCTCAGTTACCATGCCACCGCCAGTCAGGATCAGACGGAGAAACTCACCCAGGATGCAATTGCCGAAGCGGAGTCCTACAACTTGTACAGCTTCACATTTACTGGTAAAAATTCAATTTATTAATTAGTTATTAGTTTGGAAAATGATCAATTGAGTTTGATTTAATAATTAAACATGGTTTTCTTTTATTTATCTATATATTTTCCTAGACTTTGAACTGGTTGACGATGACACCTGTCGGGCAGTCCTTCGCATGTTTATGCAATGTAATCTGGTTTCGCAGTTTCAGATACCTTATGATGTAAGTACAATACATAATAAAAGCTCATAAAAACATATGTAAGCATTTATTTTAAATATATTTCAGGTCCTTTGCCGTTGGGTTTTGAGTGTCCGAAAGAATTATCGTCCTGTGAAGTACCACAATTGGCGGCATGCACTCAACGTGGCCCAAACTATGTTCGCCATGCTTAAAACTGGAAAGATGGAGCGTTTTATGACGGACTTGGAAATCTTGGGCTTGTTGGTAGCATGTTTGTGTCATGACTTGGATCATCGCGGCACCAACAATGCATTCCAAACAAAGACAGAATCTCCGCTGGCTATATTATACACTACTAGCACGATGGAGCACCATCACTTCGATCAGTGCGTTATGATTCTCAATTCGGAGGGAAATAACATATTTCAGGTAAGTTATTACTATTTATATCATATTTTTATATTATGTGTTCATATATTTTACAAAAGTGTCAAAAGGTTTTAAAATTATACTTTTCATAAGGCAATATTCAGGGAATAAAAACAAATAATGTTTCTTTCCGAAAGACCAATTCCACTTTAAATAGCCCCTTAAAGGTCCCCAAAATAAAATGAAACTTTATAATTTTTGCTACAACTTTTAACACTTTATTTTCAAAATTTAAAAATGACTTAGCCTAACCCCTGTAAGCGCGAACATTGTGATTCCAGGACTTCTTTTTAAGATTGCGCTTTCCAGCAGATTTCTTTGAGCGTTTGGCGGCATTCAGACGGGCTTTGCGTGCTTTGGCACTTTTGGATTTGGTCGTGGAGCTGGTGGTGGAACCGACTTTGATTTTCCTTTTGATCGTGTACTTCAGATTGCTAAGATACACTTTTTTCTTATTAGTATCATCCGAGGAGGCGGAACTTGAAGCCTCCGTTGTTGTGGTAGTGGTAGCTTCGGTGGTAGTAGTGGTTGTAGTGTCGTTATCTGCAGCTTTTATCTCAACCACAAACAACACCATCGAAAGGACGCAGAGAACGAGGGACAACTTCATGTTGGATGCTTCAATTGAAAACTGATATACATTCTGCTTGGAAAGTGACACTTTTATAGTAAATCCATGATTGACTCGTAACCTTCAAATTAGCAAAAAACTCTGTTTACCAAAAATAACTTTTGAGTTGAGTCCGCCTTGACTTCGATAAGATGTGAACTTTTATTTGTGCACATGTCTATCACTAAGGTGACGTCATGGCTACAGGTGTTTTATTGTATTAGCAAGTTAAGAACAAAATTGTCAATTTTTGAAAAGCAAACAGCTTAGTTGAATAATGAAAAAAATTGGATATGATTTATTTTATTTAAGGCTCTCTCACCTGAGGATTATCGCTCGGTCATGAAGACCGTAGAAAGCGCCATCCTGTCCACCGATCTGGCCATGTATTTCAAGAAGAGAAACGCCTTCCTGGAGTTGGTGGAAAACGGTGAATTTGATTGGCAGGGAGAGGAGAAGAAAGATTGTAAGTAACCTTGTATTTGAATGGTTTGCTTTATGTGACTTTGTATTCCTAAAAATACCATTTTAACTCTACTTTACTGTTATTCAGTACTTTGTGGCATGATGATGACTGCCTGCGATGTAAGTGCCATTGCTAAACCCTGGGAGGTGCAGCACAAGGTGGCCAAGTTAGTGGCCGATGAGTTCTTCGACCAAGGAGATCTCGAGAAGCTGCAGCTCAACACGCAACCAGTGGCCATGATGGACAGGCAAGTTGGCCTAGAAACTAAAAAATAATACTAATGCTTAATACTTTTTCAGGGAGCGCAAGGATGAGCTACCCAAGATGCAAGTGGGCTTTATCGACGTGATTTGTTTGCCCCTCTACAGAGTACTCTGCGACACTTTCCCCTGGATCACTCCCCTTTATGAGGGCACTCTGGAGAATCGGCGAAACTGGCAGGATTTGGCCGAGAAAGTAGAGATGGGCCTAACCTGGATAGATCACGATACGATTGACAAGCCCGTGGAGGAGTTTGCCGCCTGTGCGGATGAAGAGATCAAGGACATCGAGTTCACGGTGACAACTCTCAATTGCAATCAGCAATCCCAGCATGGGAGTGAAGACAGTCACACACCCGAACACCAGCGAAGTGGCTCCAGATTGAGCATGAAGAAGACAGGAGCTTTGGGCAAGGCAGTTCGATCCAAGCTATCAAAGACCCTTATACAACAGCATGGATGGCTCGAAGCCAAAGACCTCGCTAAAGCTCTTGGAATCTCATGTCAGTGAGGATATGGACGACAAGAGTCCCACAAGTCCTTCGCAACCGCAGGCCTCTGGTAGCATGGGCCGTATGTCCGCCTCATCCTCGACTTCGTCGGCCGGCGGACAAATGGTGGACAAATCGAAAAAGCGATCCAAATTGTGCGCGTTGTTATGACGAAAGCCGTCCAATTAGAATATGGCGACTCCCTCCAGCACGACGGGCAGTGAGACTGACCAAAAGTGCGGAGGGGGGATGACCGAGTTCTAATTGGATTTTTGGTTTTGAAAAATTAACAAAAACTTTGTGCTCTACTTGTATTTATTAGAGTGTTTCGATTTCGATTTCGATTTAATTTAAACGCGGGGTCTTTGGTAAAACTATATTTTTTCTGTAAGACACATTTTCAGTTACAAATTTATCTTAATAATATGAGCAAAGATCTGCTAAACTGTAATCTATAAAAGTATAATTTCATCAACAAAAATCCGATCAAATTGAATCGAAATCGAAGATGAAAGCAAGGTTTATATGTATATGTTTGATATATGTTTTTAAGTACTATAACTATCCATATACAAGAGGAGGAGCATTAGGCAGAAGCAAATGCAGTTGCAATATTAAGCATAAGTGAATGTCAAAATATGTGATCTATTTAAGGTCCCGAAGGTGCGAAGCCCCCGGGTTGAACCTTTTGTCGGATACTATCCTTTCTCTCTATCTATCTGTCTGTCGCTTTTGGGTGATTGAAAACCGCAAACCTTAACTAACTAAGTAGATCCAATCCAAACAACTAGCTAAGAGTGTACGTAGTTACCCTAACCAAATCGTGCTAGTCAAAACGTATGAAATACTATCTATATATGAAAATCTCCTAGTTAAGAATTGTGAAGTGAGGCTATAGTCCAGGCATCGGGCATCAGGAGTCGGAAGGGATCACCACTAGTCCTCGCCTGTGATCGGCTTGAAATCTACTTTATAGCTAACTAATATATTTGTATGCACAGAGGTGTGTATTTACGTAGCAAACTATAGCAATATTATATGATATTTCCCCCACACACAACTCACAAGATTGCGAGTACAGCACAAATATTTGAGAGATATCGAACCGTTCGAAATCAAAATAGAAGGCAGCAATTATTGATGAATGAAGAATAGTTTTCGTACTGTGTTTGATTGTATAAATATAAATATTAGCTTAAAGATACACAGCAGTCAATTTTTAAACTCGAATGCAAACAAATTAAAAATACGAATACGATAGATATTTGGCATATAATCGCACTCGGTTAATACGAATAATCCGGTCCCACACTCTCCTAGTAGTTGCAATCAAGTTTACTTTATCTGTGTGTACGTGTACAAAGCAAACTATATACTATAGAGCATAAATATTAAAACTAAATATAAATATATACGAAACCTATATTGAATATTTACATGTGACTAATGTAACTATAACTGAATTGCTTAGAATTAATGTGTTTAAGGGCATCTTTTTTTTAGTTTTTTCATTGGTCTGCGTGTACTAATCAAATTGTGCTATAAAATTCTCAACAAAGATAAACTTTTAAAAATATTTTTCTGGTTACTCTGCCGATCGCTTAAAAATCAAAAATCCAGACCACTTTATTAGCCGACTAAAATTTTTTTCTGGATTTAGTTGTGAGAATTAATTGTGTATATTTCTCGACAATTTCGTTGCATGTTTCTGTTCCCCAACGATCTAAGAATTATTCACATTTGTTTACCTAATTATGTAAGACTTGCAATTGAATCAAAAATAAAACACACCATTGAAAATTACTCTAAAGAATGTCGTCTATTTTAATGGGATTTTTTGGAATTTTGTGGTGATTTTTTGAAATAATATGCAAAAAACAATAGAAGGTATATGGTACCTCTCGAAATTACATTATGTATTGCCTTAAATATGAAAGCAAGTTTTGGGATCTTAATTAAATATTTAAATAATCGTAATTCAAAAATGGTGCGTAAATAAATTCAGTGTTGAGCAGCATGTGTGGCAATGGTAATCGGTACCTATCGTTATCGAGATATCAGCTGCTTGAATCCAAAACAATCACACGTGAAATTTTAACAGTAAATAAATATAGTTTTTAAAAGAAATTTTAGGCGGATTATGTCCTCGCTAAGTGAATCCTCGTCAGCCTCTGAGCACGAGGCCAGCAGTGACGATGAAACTCAGGTACAAATATATCTATTAAGGATAATGGTTTATATATTAAAGAATACCTGTTTTAGAATGCCATTCGCGAAGACCTTAAAGGAATGTCTTTCGAGGAAATCATGAAACTCAAAGAAGAACTAGGCGCCAAGGTTTACAAGGAGGCCGTTCTTGGAGGCAAACGTTCCAGACCCCAAAAACCCAAAGGCAAAACGGAACTAAAGCGGCTAAACAAAAACCGACCGCGTGAAATGAGCACCAAACGACAAGTTCCATTTCTAGGAGCGGAGCACCGAGTGGAGCGCAAAAAAACCGTAGAGCTGCGAGATCCAAGATTCGATGAGAAATCCGGAACATATAATGCGGAAACTTTCAAGAAAAACTATCAGTTTGTCTCCCAAATTCGTTCAAAGGAAGTTGGTCAACTGAAGAAAAAATTGGACGAGGTGGAGGATGATGACGAAAAGCACAAAATAAAGTTCACCATGCAGCGGCTGATTAACAAAAATGTCGAGGACAAAAAATGGCACACCAAACAAAAGAAACTTAAAAAAGAACGGGTAGGCATCCAGAAGAAACACAATCTAGGACAACAGCCTCACTATCTTACAAAAAGTAAGTTTTTACAGCAATCAAATTTCTTGAGCTTAAACGGCACACTATTTTCACAGAGGAGCGTCGTGCTAAGGAACTGGTGGCTCAATTTGAAGAGTTGAAAAATTCCGGAAAACTTAACAAACATCTGGAAAAGCGACGCAAGAAAAATGCCGCCAAGGACCGAAAACGCATTGGTATAGAATAAGACTTTCACTTTAAGGATAAATGTATTTTTAACAATTAAAAGCGCTGTGTACACTAGCAAACCTAGCCCGTGCGCAACATCTTGGCTTCCCGCTTTTCCTGCAACTCGCGCCGTTGCTGCTCCACAATAGTCTTGCGTTCTTCTAGGAACTCCCCGTAGGCCGCTGGATCTATTTCCTTGACCACTTTTATTCCGCAGGTCCGGGCAATGCTTATAAGCATCTCACACATTTGCTAAAATCAGAATAATACAATAAGGTATAAATGGTCAGTTTAAGTCTTTGGTAGAGCTACCTGCATGGTGAGAAGGGCATTGGGCGGATCCTGAATCTTAATAGCAGCAATCTCATACAAATGCTTGAGAGTGATCATGCCGGCGACTTCCTTGCCAGGAGTCATGGTGCCCCTTTGGATTCCCGCAGCTTGTTTTAGGAAAAATGTGGCAGGCGGATGATGGATGACCAACTCGTAGCTACGGTCGCTGTTCACGGAAATCCTACAAGGCAGCGGAACGCCTTCTTTCATTTCTGCGGTCTTCGCATTGAAGTCCTTGCAAAAGGCGGCAATATTGATAGCTCTCTATGTGGGTTGTAATATCAAATCAGTAAAGTTATCACTTTTAAAACCGGCAAAAATACCTGTCCCAACATTGGTCCCAATGGTGGGCCTGCAGCGGCCATTCCCGCTGGTATATTTGTCTTCAGTTTACTCGTGTGCGTGACTCGTTCTACTGTCTTCTTTAGCGATTTTAATTTTCCCGCTGCCTTCGACATTTTAATTGAGTTTTTTAAACTAAACAATTCAATCAAACTGTTATGCAAAGAGAAATGTGTTGGTAGAAGGAAGAAGAAGCAGCAGCAACAGCTGTTAACAGTGATGCCAATTATACTTATATTGTACTTTTTTATAAGCTATTAATAGCTAAATTGGGAATAATTTATAAGAAAACTATCAATTTGTTATTTTTAAATTAGGAGGCTTTTGAATTGTTGTACCTTGAAAGCAAATATAAGCCATTTCTATACACGCTAAATGTTAAGTAGCCAAATTGTCGTGAAAGAAACCATATTAGCCACCCCTGATGCAAATAAGAAGCATCGCAGCCAACAGCTGTTTGCACTACCTATCGCATATCGATAGTTGTGGGTGTCGCAGCAGGCTGCTTCCGTGGCAGAGTGCCAAATTGATATCAGCTGCCAGCTGAGAAGTGAGAAATTAAATAACAATAACAAACTAGAAATAATCACAGAAATCGATGGCTTTGCGCGGTTCTCACCGCCTGGAATGGTTTTATAGACGTTGTATTGCTTCTCCGGTGTTTCAAAGCCACATCCCCAACCGGAGCAGCAGTCAAATAACGATCAAAGACAGCGATCCTAACAAAAATGGTAACAGTGGGCAAGATCGGAAAAATGACGGACAAAAAGACAAAGGCTGGCGGAGACTAGTGCGCTTCTTTGTGCCTTTTTCCCTGGGCGCAGTGGTTAGCGCAATGGTCATTAAACGAGAAGATCTCACTCCCACGATCGGCGCCTCTAAGATGACCGGTCGCCGGCGCGACTTTAATTTCATAGCCGATGTGGTAGCTGGTTGTGCGGACTCGGTGGTGTACATCGAAATCAAGGACACGCGTCACTTTGACTACTTCAGCGGTCAACCGATCACGGCTTCGAATGGCTCTGGTTTTATCATAGAACAGAACGGACTCATACTGACTAATGCCCATGTGGTGATCAACAAACCGCACACAATGGTCCAGGTGAGGCTGTCCGACGGAAGGACCTTTCCGGCCACCATCGAGGACGTGGATCAGACCTCTGATCTTGCCACTCTACGCATACAGGTGAGAAGACAGTTACGAAAATTTATAAATTCCTAGAACTAATCTATTCCTGTAAAACGTGTAGGTGAACAATCTGTCTGTTATGCGGCTGGGAAAGAGCAGTACCCTACGATCCGGCGAGTGGGTGGTGGCCTTAGGTAGTCCGCTGGCCTTGAGCAATACGGTTACCGCAGGCGTAATTAGCTCCACACAACGTGCATCTCAAGAACTTGGTCTACGAAACAGGGACATTAACTACCTACAAACGGATGCTGCGATCACGTTTGGCAACTCCGGCGGACCCTTGGTCAATCTGGATGGCGAAGCCATTGGAGTTAACTCGATGAAGGTTACTGCAGGCATAAGCTTCGCCATACCCATTGACTATGTTAAAGTGTTTCTGGAGCGGGCGGCCGAACGACGCAAGAAGGGCTCGGCATACAAGACCGGCTATCCTGTGAAGCGGTACATGGGCATCACCATGCTGACGCTCACCCCGGACATCCTGTTCGAGCTTAAGTCACGAAGCCAAAATATGCCCAGTAACCTCACGCACGGTGTGCTCGTATGGAAGGTCATCGTAGGATCACCGGCGCACACGTAAGTCAATTCTTACAGTTGAAGACTTTTACCCTTAAATGGATTTAAAGTTTTTATTTTTATTTTTAAGGGCAAGAAATTGCTGATAGTGTTCATTAAAAATATTAATTTTTTAAATATTATTAATTTTATTTTTTTTTTTTTCAGCGGCGGCTTGCAACCTGGTGACATAGTGACCCACATAAACAAGAGGGAAATAAAGAACTCCTCAGATGTCTACGACGCTCTGGCGGACAATAGCAAAACTTTGGACATAGTGATTTTGCGTGGTGTGAAGCAGATGCGTGTGACCATTACGCCAGAAGATCCCTAATGAAAACTGCACTCCGCACCTGTAAGCCAGATCTACAACGAAATCATGCACGCCTGATTTGCAATACATATACATATGAATACATTTGTAAAAGAAGAGTCCGATCCTGGGAAGAAATCGATAACTAACCTACGCCACACACGCTCCTTTTTCCATCTGGAGCTCCTGCCTATATTTGTATCTGACTAACGAGTAGAAAAATTTGCATAGATCTCGGGCTCGTTATCAGTTTGGTCATTATTAACAGCGACACGACCATAAGTTAATCTACGCATCGTACAGCACAAAAATGTATCTTCGACTGGGTCGATTGGGTCGTTTGTCCGTTTCCGAACATCATCGATTTCTCTTTCATGGAGCGCTGTGCGTGTCCCTGTCCATCCGTCTGTCTTTCCGTCCGTCCGATTGTCCCCATCCAACAACGACAAAAATGTATTTACGCTAATTGAAATATCTTGCGTTGCGATCAATCGATGCCATATTTTTTATAGGCCAAACCACTGCAGTGGTGCCGCAGAAAATGCAGCAGCGCCGCAGCAACAACCGTCGAATACCGAAATGCAAATTTCAATAAATTTATGCAACTGTATTCCCAGCGCTTTACTTGGTCCCAGCTGTTCATACCCTCGATTGGAGTACTTTTAAAATTTAAAAAATGCTTCCGAAATATAGAATCAAACTTTCAGAATCTTTTCCCTCTCTTTTAGTGCTTATAATGAAAATTAAGTTATAAATAAAATAAAACAAATTATATTTGTTTCTCTTAAACGATCCAAGAAGTGACCAAATCTTATGTATACTTTTTAAACTGAAAGTTGATTTTCAGTACTCAGTTCCAGTTCTTGATTTCATTCAATTTGATTCATTATTTTTTTATATAGAAAGAACAGAATGTATATTTTTAAATAACCCTAAAAATACAATAAATAAAGAGTGTTAGAGTCTTAAATGTTATATAGCACTCATAATAGAAATATAAAGTTTTTACCCTTGTAAATAAACCTAAAGAGTACTCAAACTTCGTATTGCAGAGTGCAGATTTCTTTGGCTTCGGTTTATTTGTGGGTGACAAGGCAGACGATGCCGATAATGTTGTTGTTGCAGCTGCTGTCGTTGCGTGAAAAGTGAAATTCTTGTGATTATTAATTTTGTTTTCGCTTTTGGCGATGCTACGCTTTTTTAGTTTTTGCATATAAATTCATATATTGATTCCGCTGGACTTGGCCATTGTTGTTGCCATTTGCTGGCGTTGTTTATGTGACAGCGGCCTTTATGACATTGTTGGCACTAAGTTACCTTTATTGCTTATAAGCCGCACGCATAAATGCAGCTTAAAGTTCATAAATTTGCCAATATTCACTCGGCAAGGGGTTAAGCAAACGCGGACCTCTCTTTTTGCGACCGTGTAAACAGTTTTTACTTTATTCGCTGGCGCCCCACGCTTTTTACCACTTTCTTTCTGCCATTTCAGTCGCCTGGCGAGCATTCGTTTCCATTTCGGTTTTCAATCCCAATCCACAATCCCGGTCTGCACTCTGTGAGCCAACTAATTGAAATATTTAAAATGCATAAAAGTATCGCATTTAAACTTTGCAATTAGTTTGTGGTGATCGTCGCAGTTGGCTGTCGTCGTCGTGGGCACGGATATGTATATGTTGTAGTTGTTGTGGGTTGTTGTGGGGCGCTTAAATTACAAACCTGTGAGAAATTTAGTCTCACTTTTGGTTGCTTTTGTTACTTAGTTGATCTATACACTAGAGAAACGACGGGCAAATCAACTACTAGGAGATGTTGTGGGAAAAAGCTAAAGAAAGTTAATTAGGTTAGTCGTTTGTTTATTTTTTGCACAAAATAAAGGCTAATTAGGCATTCATTATTTACAAGAATTGGAGAAATTACTGACTCTTTTTCTTAGAACATGACATTGATTTTTTAAAATTCATGTTGTAAAATTTAACTATAAACGCAAAAGCTTCAATATTAGTTTATAATGAAGAGAGGAAAGGCTAAGTTTATCCAATCCAGGATTGGATTGTTTGGCAATCAACAAGTTTATATTCACAAATTCATAAAAAGGTTTTTAAGATATATTTTTTTTTACCCAAAAGGGCATTTGTCTTAACACTAAAAGACGTTTGTTATTCGCGGGCATTATTGTGAATTAAGATCACAAAGTTGTTATTGCGGTAAGCAGCATTTTGTGGCTGTGATCATGTTCACACGCTGCGGCAGTAAAGCTGAGGGCCTAAAGGCGGTAAGTGTCGTGATTTGGCTGGGCTTACACTTTCGTAAAAGGCAGCAATTAATAATGGAGTTGGTCAAAATTACCTGCTAGTCCATCAATTGAACACGTTTTGACGAGGGTCATTTGGAAATTTGCCAATTTCGATTGAGTTATTAAACGTGCGCTTAATTGCCGCCACTGACACTTTGGGTCAAAAGTCTGCAAATTGTCGCATTAACCCAGAAATGTCCGGGTATAGGATCTTGCTCGTGTAATGGGATTTTTTTTACTGTTTTTGTTGGTCTTTATTTCTGTTTTGGAGGTGACCCCATCAGACACCTAAATCAACGACTTTCTCGTGCGCTGTTCCCATGAACTGCTCACATTTAAACATATTGGCAGGCGCATTGGAAAAGTGCATGAAGCAACGCCAGGCGAACACCTACAACAAACGGCAACTTTTGTAATAGCAACAACATTAAAGTTCATGACACACAACTGTAAAATGTTTCAGCCCGAAAAAGAAAGAAAAAAACTTTTACCGCCGATAATAAATGGCTGCGACTTTGCGCCCCCAAAAGTTCAAGACATCATCGCTCCGTCCCGCATGTGAAAAGTTCTCCTCGAAAGACGGACAGTTGGACAGGCGGACAAAGTGGATATGCGGACAACGGACAACGGACAAACTTGGAGCCATGGACAGGAAGTTGGAGGCTGGCATAGATGAAAACGAAGCCAAGAGCAAGAGATCGGGGCCCGATGGCAAATCCAATGCCACGGGCCATAAATCACTTGAGTATGCCAAAAGTTACATAATAATTCTGTGCGGATCATCGTCGCGATAACTGATCGTCTCAGTGGCGGCATTCATCAAGAAATCGGTGGGGGGAAATAAAGTCATCGTCATCAATCCGTTGTCCAAATTGAAATGTGTTTTAATGTGCCATTTTATACGGCATGCCAAATGGTATCCCACATTTTTTTGGAGGCCGAGCCTCTTGTCTCGATTGCATTAAATCAACAGATTCATAAAAATGAAAAACACGAAAAATTATGATGATTACGCGGAAATGTGTGGCAACTGTGCTTTTTTTGTGGCCACTGGGCTAAAATGCTTTATGAAATTGCACAAGTGTGTTGGCCATTTGCTGAATTATGGCGCCCAGGTTTTTCTACTCCTTATTTTTGCTAGTTTTTTGCCATTTTGTTGTTGTTATTTTGGGTCGCCGCAGGGCGCTGGTGGTGGTGCTGGTGCATTTTCATTAAACGCTTGGGAAACTGTCCAACTGGGGAGTCTTGGTTAGCCAGGTTTTTGTGATCAGTTTACACATCTGGCTTTTGGCTTCGTTTTGTAGTGTTGGTCAAATATTTGCGCCAGCGCAAAGAGTCATCATCATTAATAACGATGGAAATTTCACCTGCTGGAAAAGCGTTTTGAGTTTTGCGTTTTGCGCACTACTACTGCCGCTCGATGTTTATGTTTTCTTTATTTAGGCAAATCCATCAATTACGCTCGAGAGTGTGGCCCACTGGGAAACCATTTGTTTGCTCGGAAAACGCTGTCGAGCGTGACGAAAACAAGCTTCTAATCTGGCCCAGCCGAACTGGCAACTTTTCGATTCGATCTGTCCCCCGAATTGATTGATTTGTCAGCAACCGGCCACTGACAATCCCACAAATCCCAAAGATTTATGTCCACTTTTAATGGCCAAATGTCTTCTGACCATTTTCAGACAAATTATGCATTGGCTTTGAAACTCAATGTAATATTGAAATGATGTCATCGCGTCGATCAGTCGATAAAATAAAGATCAATTTTATAAAATGTGTATCCACTGTAAGATTTTGAAGAAATATGTATTTAAAAACTCTTTAAAATAATCGGGAAATTTTTAATGAAAATCCAGGAACTCGTTTTACGTTATTTTCCTCTTAAACATTGCTTGATAATAATATATTATATAATTGATTTTGTGTAGCTTTTAAAATGAAATATCCAGTTAAAGACACTTGAAACTAATTAAATCCCAATCAATCACCATTAAGATTACTTTTTCTTGCTGTGTGGCAAATGGCGGCCACAGAGATTACAGAGTAGAAATCGGGCCACCTGAATCATTTAATTGTTGCGATTTTTCACAAAATTGAAACATCTTCCGGCATGGAGAGCCAAGACAAACGATGTGTGCACCGAAATTAGTTTTTCGCATGTTGCCTGGCCCGAGGCGTGAAAAGATTTTCGCATGCAAGGTGCGGCGGTAACAAAAACAACAAAAACAGCATCAACAGCTTAAGCGGTAGAAACAACAGCACCTGGAATAGCAACAACAAAAACAACTGCCACTGGCAACGCGGCAAGTGCTGCTCTAATTTATAAAATGTTTTTCGCTACCAACTCTGCGGCTGCTAAAAAGCCTTAAAACAAGTCAGATTGATCGAATGAGACATACCTTAAAACACTATAGAATTTATATACTGGAGGTTTTTAAAGGAAGATTGAGTTTGAATATAATCAGACCGATCTATTTAGATACTTTAATGTACAATTTTAAAAAAGAAAATCATTTTGGTTGTCAAGGGTTAAATGATATTGCATTTATAAAAACTAAACTAATTTAAACTAATTCTGCATAAATACCTCATGTTTAACTTTATCTCTATTTTAAGTAAGGAGTTAGTTTACAATTTTAAAACTACTTTCGATCAGTACTAGCCCATCTTATCATCTTCAAAACCAGGGTATCTTTTCACAAATTAATTGCCTTGCGGTTCTCACACACTCACACTCGTCTTAGGCATGGCAGAAATTTCACTTCTATAGAAATTCCGGAGCTCAGCGATCGCAGAGCCTGGGGCTTTTCTTTCACACTTTTTCTCACTGCCTCTGCTGCTGCCGCTGTCACTTGCTTTAGTTGCTGCTGATGTTGCTGTTGCTGCTGCTGACGCTGATGTCGTCGCTGGCATTGCCTTTGTTTATTACGCATGACACGCCGCACTCGCCCACCCATCATAAATGCCGTCACATGTTTTAATTAAATGCCATCGTAGCAAGGCCTTAAAAACTTTATATTTCTTGTCCATTAATTGAAATTACAAAGCCACACGATAATATCCGTGTGCCAGGCAGTCTTTTTGGTTTTGTTTTGGCAATAATTTTGATTTTTACTATTTACACGAAGATGTTGCCATGTTGACAATGCGTCGGTAAATGGAGGAACAACTTTCACTTCTTTTCCGCACGGAGGGTAAGTTTATTACCCATCCGCCAGGTAGTTCGGATTTTATGTTCTATTGGGGCCATAAAGCTGGCCAGTAAAACATATTGCATGGTTCGATGGCTTTTCGATGGATGATCACTATTGCTATTGTATCGATGGTTCGAGTTCGTTGCCAAAGTCTTTTGTTTCATTTTGCGGGTGTGAAAAACAGAAAAGTATAAAAAATGTATGTGCGTGGGCTGCTTTTTGGGTCCCATCGAGCCACTTTCGTTGCTGCCATCAATCAATTGCCAATTGCTAATGCAAATTGAATGCTGTTTTCATAAACAACATCCAAATACACGCGAAATGTCATTAATTTCAGCGCCGCAGCGCCAGAAAAAGCTCGACCAAATCAAGTCGAGCATTTGTCTCATCGCTTAAACATTTCAATTTCACTCGCAGCGCGCAGTCGTAGTAGTTTCTTTTATTTATGGCTACTAAATTACGTATCCGTGCTGTGGTCCCGATGCCGGCCAGGCTTTGATTAATGATCTCGCCCGGCACACTGACTCAGAAAGCATTGGAAAATCGCTGGAT